AGCCCACTTTAATTTTTCTTCCCTGATTAAAGAAGCATCTCTCTGAGGAGTGTGATTTGTCCCTAATACAGTCTGGGAGGAAACCACTCCCCCACCATCTCCTTCAATTAGTGTGCTCCAAAAGAAGTAGGGGCAAGAATTGTTCTGAGTTAATGATTTTCCTAAGCCATGTAGGGATATCTCAAATAGGTGAAAAGGTGTGATATGTGTTGTGAGGGGGTGGGGGGGAGACCTAGGGAGTAATACACATAAAAGTGTTACATCTATTAGGTACAGTGAGCTACAAATGACCTGAACTACAGCTGAAAACTCAGCAGAGTCAAATGGACACGACTTCCGTTCTTTCTCTTTTTAAAATAATTTTTATTTTATATGCATTGCCATTTTGCCTGCATGTGTATCTGTGTGAGAGTGTTTGATCCCCTGAAATTGGAGTTATAGACAGTTGTGAGCTGCCATGTGGGTGTTGGGTTCTGTGGAATAACAGCCAGTGCTCTTAAACCATTGAGCCAACTCTCCAGCCCCTACTGTTGTTCTTTCTTCTATTCTTTATATTTTACAGAATAACTGGTAGCAACTACCAAACACGTTACATTTTGCAAAACCCTTTTTCCCAGTTAAAAGTTCAGCCACCTTTCTGTAGGCAGAATAGAAAGTTAAGCCTCCAAACCTAATTCCCAGCAGCCCTCAGTTCAGCATCTGTAGAGTCTAAGCCGAAAGACCATGCACGGGATGAGAGGGCTGCAAATGAACTCCAGTGGGTGGGCTGCTAGCACAGGCACGGCTGTTTAGGGGTGGGGAGGAATATCGAAGAGAGGAAGCGACTGGTTCGCTGGCTGAAAGTCTAATTCAGAAATTCACAAAAAAAAAAAAAAAAAAAAAAAAAAAACCGGAAAGGAATACCCCTAGTGGGCGGGCTCTTGGGTACGGAAGCGGAAACAGAATACCGGAAGCTGCGGTGACTCCTGCTATGGCCGAAGTACTGTCGGTTGCGACGCAATCGGTAGCCGGCTGCCGGGCGCGGCCAGCGCACATCGTGCTGAATCAGGTGGTTCTCCCTGGGGAGGAGCTGGTGCTGCCGGAGCACGAGGATGTAAACGGCCTTGGCGGCGCCGGGGAGCAGCCGTTACGTCTGAACTCGGGGGCGCGCCCGCGGCTGCGTGTGGTGTGTGGCCCGGGTTTGCGACGCTGCGGGGACCGCCTGCTGGTCACCAAGTGTGGCCGCCTGCGGCACAAGGAGCCCGGAGGAGGCGGCGGTGGCGTTTACTGGGTGGATTCGCAACAGAAGCGGGTGAGCGGACGTCGGAGAGGCGGTGCTGCAGGAAGAGGGATCCAAGTTCTGGGAAGACAGCAAGTGGGAGGGGAGGATAAGCCAGCCTAGAGCCGCGGTAGCCTCCAGGCCCTCTCTGCGTGTTCTTTAGAGGAACCACAATAGAAACACATCCTGAGAACGGGGAAAGGAGGAAAGGGTTACAGACTAGGAAGCAGCAGGCTTGCCATTTGGAGTCCCCGTTGCAATGAGTCTAAATAACAGGGAGTAAATTTCTCGTAGAGTAAGAAAGAGCTTTCACATACAAGTGTCTGATGGATGGGCTTCCTTAACTGTGAGGGTTCTTGTGCCACCAGATGTATAAAAGATGCTGAAGTATAAAACCTGACCAGGTCAACTCCGAATTAGAGACTACAAAATTGCACTGGTGCGGGCAGGTTTTGTAGTTCCAGATACCAGAGGAGTTCATGAGTTGGGAGGATTGTTTGAGATCTACCCTGAGCAACCTTGATAACACTTGCTGAATGTATTTCCTAGCAGTATTCGTGTTTTTTATGGTTGTTCATTGTGTTTTGTAGTACGTACCGGTGAAAGGAGACCATGTGATTGGTATAGTGATCGCTAAATCTGGAGATATATTCAAAGTTGACGTTGGAGGAAGTGAGCCAGCTTCTTTGTCTTACCTGGCATTTGAAGGAGCGACTAAAAGAAATAGACCCAATGTACAGGTAATGATGGGAGTATTTGGTTTCAACAATAAGAAAAAATAGCCACTCCCCAGAAATTTAACTGTCCAGAGGGCTTCCTGAATTGTCTCCAAAGCTTAAACTATCATTCTCCAAGATGGTTCCTTAAGTGCTGCTGCTCCAGAACCCGGGCTGTGTTCTTGGTTCTTTCCCAGGTTGAAGGGTTATGTTTGCTTTCCTTGTTACCTGTCAGGTCCATATCCATCTCACAAGGAAAGTGGCCTTAGCTGAAGGGACACTGGTACTCTCAGTCATCTGTTCATTTGGGCTCTAAATGCTTGGAGCCGACAGAGGAGTGATCTTGTTACTACAGGATTTCTGCTTGGGCTTTCTGCGTAGTCTAGCTGTATCCTTCCTGAGGATGCATCTGAGCCAGAAATTTGATGGTGTCTATGCTACTTTTTTTCCAACTGTCACAGGTCTTGTTCACTTGACCTTATTTGTTCCATCTCTTCTCTTTTGCATGCTGATCCCTTTGTCTCCACGAGTTCTAACATTTGCTCCCTTTGAACAAAACTGGACAGCAATCTCATTAACATTCCAGCTTCCATCTGTTGACAGCCTCTTGGTGATAGCCCTCTTTTAAAATTTATATGTATGGATTTCTTTTTAAAGATTTAAGTATATGAATGCTTTATCGACTTTATGCCAAAAGAGGGTATCAGATCTCATTGTAGATGGTTGTGAGCCACCAAGTGGTTGCTGGGAATTGAACCCAGGTCCTCTGGAAGAGCAGTCAGTGCTCTTAACCACTGAGGCATCTCTCCAGCTCCCATATTCCCTTTCTTAACAGGGGGGAAAAAAGTTGGAATCATACAGAATTCATTGGCCTTGTACCCCAAGGGTCTTCCCCTCATGCTAATGTACTTCACGTAACCATGGTTAAGCTTCACGACACCACTGAACTTTGTTTCCTTGGGTCTATTAATGGTGCTCCTGTCTGTCTGGGTTGCAATTTCTCTTCGGCCTATGAGAAAGACATCCATCCTTTGAGGTCCAGGCTATGTAAAGTCATTCATCATCATCACTTTTCCTATATCTTTACCATGGTACTGGATATATTCTTGAATTTGTTCATGAGTTTATTCATTCTCAATGCCCTGTGGAAGACCATGTGTTCCTGAAAGGCATAAAGTGTGTTATGGTTCATTCCATCTAGGTTTTGTAGTCACCCAAAATGGTGGGTACTTAAATATTTTTAATATATGCATATCGAGAGTATTTTGGCTCCATGTTTGTATTTACTTTCTGTATGACTGCTGCTTATGGAAGTCAAACAGGAAGGTCAGGCCTCCTGAAACTTGGGTGGTTGTGAGTTGCTAGGAAACAAACCTGGGTCCTCTTCAAGAGCATCAAGTACTCTTAACCCATGAGCCATCTCTCCAGCTCTCAACAGTGGAGATTTTAATGTTGAAGAGAACAAATTCATTCTGTTTCCTCAGCTTCATCATTTTAAAGTACAGTTTTATAACATTTTAAAGCAAATCTTCCATGTAGTAACATCCGAATTACCATTGTCCCCTTTTCATGTGAATATGGATATCCTGACTTTTTCCTTCCTCTGGTCAAGTATATCATTTCTTCTAAGTAAGTACTGATAGAACATTTTCCAATCATGTTTTTTTGTTGTTGTTAGATTTTGTTTTTGTATCTGCACTGACTGATAGAGCTACCATTAGTTACATGTGGCTGTTGAGCAGTTGAAAAGTAGCTAGTACAATGGGAAACTCAATTTTATATATTAACTAGATATAAGGTTAAGTATAAATTTAAATTAAACCATATATAAGTTGGACAGGGCAATTTTGAAGAGTGTTCTTAACTTTGAAGTGGTTCTTGTTGGAGGATTTCATGGTGTAAGGAGTACTCAGCTCCAAAGTAGTGTTGCCTGAGAACTGTGGGTTGCTGGCATTCCTGCCCACAGAACAGAACCAGAAGCTTTAGAATATCTGGGTGAAAGGAAGTGAACTTTTCTTTTAATCTTACAGGTTGGAGATCTCATCTATGGCCAGTGTGTGGTTGCTAATAAAGACATGGAACCGGAAATGGTCTGTATTGACAGCTGTGGACGGGCCAATGGAATGGGTGTGATTGGACAGGATGGTCTGCTCTTCAAAGTGACTTTGGGCCTAATTAGAAAGTAAGTTAACTTACATAACTGCTCTGCTTTAATGAAAATTTAAGCTGGGTGGTGGTGTAGGTCTTTAATCCTAGCACAGAGATTTCTATGAATTCCAGGACAGCGTGTTCTACACAACAAGTTCCAGGGCTAACAAAAGTCCTGTCTCACAAACCCAAATAATGATGATGATAACAATAATATTAATAATAATAATAAGCTATGATCCTCAAGTCTTAGAATTAAGGGAAGTCTTCAGGGGAAGGAGACTTTATAAATTTATGTTACACATAACTGGTGACATGATTGTAAACTCTGGCATGGTAGAAGGTTCTTGGAAGAAAGGGGGCATTGAGCTGGGCACAGTGGCACATTCCTGTAGTCCAGCTACTTGGAAAAGCAGGACAGTTTGCAGATCTGAGACTAGTTAAGTGACCTAGTTATGCTTCATCTCCAAATAAAAAAGGGCTGGGGGAGGAGCTGGTACAAGAAAAGGGGCAGCAGATAGCATCATGTGCCTTGTTTTGAGAACGATGCTGAGGGGACTTTGGATAGCCACGGAGAACTACTCAGAAAAGGAATCTCCTTAAGAGAGCCACACATATCCTACTGCTCTATTAAATTTTCTTTTCTTATTTTTCCTACCAGGCTATTAGCTCCAGATTGTGAAATCATACAAGAACTGGGAAAACTCTATCCATTGGAGATTGTATTTGGGATGAATGGAAGAATATGGGTCAAGGCAAAAACCATTCAGCAGACTTTAATTTTGGCAAATGTCTTAGAAGCTTGTGAACACATGACAACAGATCAAAGAAAACAAATCTTTGCCAGATTGGCAGAAAGTTGACATGAACATCTCTACTTTTTTTTTTTTGGACATGAACACTTTTAATGGCTCATTTTAGTCAAGACTGAGTTTCCTGGGGAGATCTTTTTTTCAGATGAACCTCTTCCTATCACATCTTCAGAAGATGCATATTGTCTTACTAGAATCCAATAAAATATTTTTATAAGAGTTACTGGTCTTCACTCACACATAGATAAGAAAATTGTAAATTTTTTATATAAATTTTGTATATAGTGTTATTTGAAGTTCTGCTATTGTACAGTTTCTATAATGGGCTGTAGCTCAATATTAAAATTGTTTTCTTGTTATAATAGTAAGACTTGTTTGCAGAGCCCATCTGTCATCCCATAAGCCAGTGGAAGAGTATGTCCAGCTCATACTCCTATGCTTACCATGTTGAAGAGTATTGTCCCAGGTGTTTTACACCATTAGCTCACACCCAGTAACTGCAAAGACACTACTCCTCATAAAGATACTACTGCAGAGTGTGACAGGCCTAAGGCTTAACCACCGCATATTTATGTCTTTCAAATTGAAGTTATAGGGTATTATAACTTAACATACTGTGTACTTCATGTCTTTAATCCCCCCCCCCAGGATATATTATAAAAAACTCTGTAATTATAGGTATTTCACTTGGTAATACAAGATATTTTTAAATTTTTTATGTCTTTAGTTTTTTTTTGTTTTGGTTTGGTTTTTTGGGACAGGGTTTCTCTGTACTGCTTTGGAGCCTTATCCTGGTACTCGCTCTGTAGACCAGGCTGGCCTCAAACTCAGAGATCCCCTTGCCTCTGCCTCCCGAGTGCTGGGATTAAAAACATGCACCACTACTGCCTGGCCTTCAGTTTTTTCCTAAGTAACAGGATGATGATTCCTGATTCTAGTCTGGCCAAATGTTATTTAGCTAACATCATTCCCATAATCTTAAAATAAGTTTTAGATAAAGAGAGGTTTGGACTTGAGTTGGAAAGAAAATTCTATGCTACTTATGTTAAAGCCTCCAGAGATAGAAACATAGACTGGCAAGTGATAAAAGTTCAGTGGTTCTGGGTTTATAGATCTCTGAGAATGAGTTATGTACCCCTGAAGCCTATGTATTTAATCCCATCCAGTATGAGAACCATCCAGTATGCTGAAAACCTTAAGTGGTTTTCTGAGATATAGCCTATTTTCAATAATAACATAGAATGTATCAAGTGATAGCTCCCATGGGATTCAATGGGAAAGGAGAAGGAAGTAGGCTGAGAGGTCCTTTCGGTTCTTCTGAGTTACAGAAAACGAACTTGAAAATAGCTTGACCTTCAAGTCAACCCAAAATGGGAGTAACAGACAGTTCTATCTGAATGTGAGGAGACTTCTGTCTTGTAACGTGTGCTTGTGTGTCAGAATGCAGCATCTTTATCCTGTATTTGTTAGTAACGACGTGGGCTTTTTAAATTAGGTCTGGGGGGGGGGGGGTGTACGTGTGCACAGCACTTGGTTTGTATAAGGCCCAGAAGGCTACACAAAGCTATTTGTACAGACAGAAGAGAGGAGCCCTCCATGACCATAATCAGAATGAGAAAGAGTGAGAGCACAGGAGAGAACAAAGTGCTCTAAAGGCTTTAGTAGGCCAGGCCAGGCTGGGCTAAGAGAGGACAGCAAAGCTTATGTGCAGCGTGTGCCCGAGCTGGTGAAGAATCAGCACACTTACAGGTGTTGAAAAGTACTTTCATGCAAGTTCAATGAAAAACTGACAAACATCTCTAAAACAGACCTTTCACAAATAGAGACTAATGTACAAAACATAAATTAACATCCAAAATGCTCTGTATTTGGACAATTCCTTAACACATAAACTTTTTAAAACCATAATATTGTTTTATCAGAACATTTCCAGTGAGCCAGGCATGTAGGTGACACAAAGCATAAAATATGGTCCTTGACAATAATTGCTTTCAAAGATCCATGATAAGTAAAGGCAAGTGTGTGTCACTGCCACCCTTTGCCTTGTCCATTGGTCAAGACACCTCTGGTGTTTCACTCACTACAGCTGAAGGCTGCCCATCATTCCATTGAATTCCGAAGAATGTAGCCTTTTCCTGGAGAAACTCCTTTCTTCAATGCTTCAGGCCAGTTGTGAGTCTCAAAGTAAGTGGACAGGATATCAAACACTGTTGGAGGGTAAACAAAAGTTGGTTACCATTGAGGAGAAAAGATCAGTGAAGGACTAATGAAGAAAAGGGTATTGTGGAATGTTTCATTGACCAAATGTGCTCTGAGTTACATGGTAGTAGATCATGGGAAGATCATGAGAAGAGAGAAGTAGGGACTCAGCTTACACAGGGAGGAGAGGCTTGTGAATAGATAACACTGCACCGGGTCTGCAGTGAGAGGCAAGGCAGCTAAGATGCTCCTGAACTGAAGCCTAGAGGAATACTGGCCAGTGGAAGTAGACGGCAGGGCATTCTAGGCAAAGGGACCCGTTCAGCCAGGAACAAAAAGAAAATGAGGAATACCCCTCAGTGGTCAGCAGCCTACCAGCAAGTACATGAAGGAAAGTCTAGGTATATGAGTCATAGGAGACAAGAGCATTGCTAAAAACTAAGCAGCCATCTGAGTAAACAGAAAACATTGTGGTCATTAAAGAAATATGACTAATAAATGTCCAGGAAGGAAAAACATGTCGGGTTGGGCCATGTGAGCAGTACCTTGATTGATGGCCAGTATTTTTGAATGGTAGTTTTTCTCATTCTGGCGCCTGACCATGTATTCCTGGATTGGCAAACGGGCTGTCTTCACAGAGTATTCTCGAGCTTTTTGAAATGTCACCTTCTATAAATCAGATTGTCTTGTTATAAAAATTACATGTGAAGATATTCATGGTGTAACAGACACTGCCAATTTTGAGAATTCCTACACATTACTACTTTTAGTTGGTAGAACAGCACACTCTATTCACCTCCACCTCCCCCCCCCCCCCCCCCCCCCCGAGGCCATCCACCTGTCTCAGGAGACTATGACAAGGGAGAAGTAAGTAGTGACCCTGCTTCTGCAATAAAGCTCTTTCCCATTCCCAGTTACTGATGTTAAAATATCTCAAATCTAAGAAAACTGAAAAAACCATTAATTCTTATTCCTTTCATCTATGTTCACCAGCTAACATTATCAAGTTTGTCTGAAAGTAAGCTACAGATATCTAACATTCCATCACTTAATATTTAACCTTTCACTGGAGAACAACAGCATTCTCCTCCATTGACAAAGTACTTTTTTTTTTCATTTCTGAAAATTCTGTAAGATTATTTAATGCCCAACCATTATCGAAGTCCCCCAAATGCCTCTTCAAAAGCATCCCCCAATCTGAAATCCAATCATCCATAGTACACTTGACAGGTTTTTGTTTATAAGAAGGGCTCACATACTTCTGCCTGAGCCTCCCAGGCAGATGGGGCCACAGATATGTCACTGTATTTAATATGCTTTAATTTGTTACATTCCTTTAAAACATCCCCCATTTGTTTGTTTGTTTCTATTACAGTGGCTTTTGTTTTGCAGAATGTCCTAAACTTCTTGTTTTCTCATAAATTTTTATTTTTCAAAATTTGAGCAAGAATACTTGACAGGAAAGAGTATCACCTCATCAAATTTGGGGATGATAACCAACAATGGCTTCACTGTAATGGTACATTTTGCCTTGGTACTCTGCCAGGGGACACTCTGAGAGCATGAACTTCAGATAGCTAGTAATGGCTTCACTTAGTCAGCCGCCTGAATCAGTTATTACTTTCTAATTACTTTCTAATTTCTATTAGCAGACTTCTTATTTAGGAGACCCCTTTGCCCATTTTTAGATTATTATTATGACAGCATGGAACACTTAGTTTTTTATTTTGTTTTCAGGACAGGGTTTCTCCATGTAGCCCTGACTGTCCTGGAACTCATTCTATAGACCAGCCTAGCCTCAACTCACAGAGACCTGCCTGCCTTTGCCTCCCTAATGCTGGGATTAAATGCCAAGTCTAGCAGGACACTTAGCTTTAAACAGTTAGTTGTACTTAGGTTTTTGTTGTTGTTTCTTCAAGAGAACACGTTTCTCTGTGTAATATCCCTGGCTGTCCGGGAACTAGTCCTGTAGACTAGTAGAGGCTGGCCTCTACCCTCCCTAGTGCTGGGATTAAAGGCATGTGTCATCACTGCCCAACTTATACTTAGTTTTAAAACTAAGTATCATCTGTGTTAAACGTGCTTCATATGTGTGTCTCACACAAAATACTTCTATATACATGATAAACACATGTAAAATACACCAACAAATATACCTAAGAAAAGTGAGCCATGGTGCCTTGAGGATTGAGGGGTCTAAAGTGGGAAATATACTTATTTCTCACTATGTTTCTTTTTGAAAATGTATACTATTATATCATTATTCAACTTAAAAACTATGCAATGTATGTTAATTATTAAATATAAGAAAAAAATTAATATTTGTATAACAAAAGTTAAAACTTCAGTAAAAGCTTAATTACTCCAATGAAACTCCAATTCAACAAGACGCCTGAGCAAGGGGCTGGAGAGATGGCTCAGCGGTTAACAGCATTTGTTGTTACAGAGAACTCGATTTGATTCCCAGTACCTACAGTTCCAGAGGATCTAATGCCCTCTTCTGAACAGGCATATGCACATAGTACACAGACATATGTGAGCAAAACATTCCTATATATATATAAAAAAAAATCTAAAGAAGAAGCCTGAACAATCCAACTGATTTGAGGTCCTATGGGAATAAGACTCACACCAGCAAAAGAGTTAGCCTAGAAGAAGCTGACTAATCCCTCACAGAGAACAAAGTGTGGGGGGAAAATGCTGAGCCGAGATCAGAGTTATCCTGACAGAAAGAAGGGAAGAGAGAGGAAGCAGAAAAAACGGCTGTGTCTAAGTCACCAGGCAGGAGAGGCGCTCCACAAACAACAAGCTCTTCTTCTTGTTCCCATGCAGCTGCTAGGCCTTCTGGGTAAGACCATAACTGGGAAAATGCCTCCACTATGAATGGGCTAAAATGTATACTTACCTTCTGAATGCTTTCATCTACAAGTCCACCAATGATGTAAACCGTGTTTTGATCAATGTCTTCAAGGGCTAATGAAAAAATGAAGGTCACTGAGATCAAATTGGTTTTATAATTTCTAAATCCAAAGAAAGCAAAAGGAAATAAATATCATCAATATTAATACAACTAATATAACACAATAAAAAGCTAATCCTCTGAAGACAAAGCAGGCAGGCAGATCTGAAAAATGAGTGGTATGTTCAAAGTGACAGACACTATGTTAGAAAATAAACAAAACCACAGAGAAATGTGAGATGAATATGACAGCACTATGACCAACCTAATAGAAGTGAGAAAATTATGTGAAACAGGATATTCTGTCTGTGTAATATAATATGTATACATGGATAGAATACAGTGATTTTATATATATATTTCACTGATATAAACACTGACCCAAGCTGGTCAGGAAACCGATTGCCAGGCAGCATACAGAGTCCAACTGAAGATGGAAATAATCTCTGCAGCATTGGATATCTGCCCACAAGAGACGTCAGTTCATCCCCCCACTCTTGGATGGAGTGACAAATGTGCCACAGGGAATAATGAGACAAAAGATGAGGAACAAAGTACCACATGAACACTCATTGAAAGGAAAGGAAAGGTACCTACCCTGTTCTGAGTCGGGAGTCAGGTATACAAGGGTTTCCAGAGGAAATAAACTAAAGCAGTCTTCTTCTGTTACATCAAGCTAGAAATACAGAGATTATCGCACAGGTGGACAAGGTTAAAATAGCACAGCGCACAACTCACACTAGTTCCTGGGCATCTAGTGTCTGTCAGGCACAGCTCTGCTGTCCTGAGGAGCTGTAGGTCTGAGGGCTTTTTGCAAAGTGCTTAGTTGAACCAAACAAAAGCACAGATGTTTAATCCACAGAAAGGAGACATAAAGTGACCAGGAGCTCCCAGAGGGACGGTGAGCATACACCAGTACTACATGTGAGGGAGTACCACACTAGGGATGGCAGGGACACAGGACACAGGAGAGACTGGTGAGCAGTAACGGGAGGCAGCTAGCTGTGCAGCGCCACACAGCACATCTCACATCTATGGCCTCCGTAACTTCCCCAGGGAAGGCTGCTACAAAGCAGCACAGAGGGGCATTTTTAGTGCCATTCCTTGAGAAAGATTTGGATTCTCACTTGCATATCTGCTGCTACCTTTACGAGATCCTCAGCAAAGAGCTGGACAGTCCTGTAAGTTCTTCCTAAAAGACACTGTAAAGCCACACTGCTTCTAAAAACGACATTTCTCTTCCTCTAACAACCATGTTCCCTACCTCTGCCTCTCCTTGACTGTTTCCCAAAAAAATTACTGGAGGATATGGGTTAGCCTGAACTAGACAGGTTATAAAACATATTCCTAGACACTGGGAATATCCGTTTGCCAATGCAGGGCAAGAATGAGAACAAAAAAAAAAAAAAAAAAAAAAAAAAAAAGTAATACAAGAACATTAATGCAAGATTCTGAGACTTTTAAGAGTGCAACAGTGAAAACATCATTTATATTCAGACACTATACTTGTCCTCAGACCAAGATGGTCCCACAGACACCAAAAGCTAAGCATGCTCAAGTCTCTTACATAAAATGCCAGTGCTTACATTTAAGTTACACACTCCTGAAGACTTTAAATCCTCTCTAGACTATTTTGATGCCCAGTAAACATAGACAGCTCTAATGCTGGAGTTTCAGTTTCCTCTTGTGTTTGCAGACAGGGTCTCACAATGGCCTAGGGCTCACTGTACAGTTCAAGCCAACCTCAAACTTGACCATCCTTCTTTCTGCCTCAGCCTCTGAAGTGCTGGGATTACAGGCATGAGCCACCACACCCAGCCATATTGTATTGCAGAGGGAATAAATGACAAGAACAAAAAGTATCGATTCAATCTTTTCCAAATATTTTTTTAAAACTATGGTTAAGCCAGGGGTAAGACATCTCAGTGGGTACAAAGACCCTAGCCACCAAGCCTGACTTGAGTCTTATCCCAGGATCCATATGGTGGGAAGAGAGAACCAACTCTCATTGTCCTCTGACCTCTATATTCATGCCATGATTGATTTATATATATATATATATATAAAATAAATGCAATACAGACACAGTTAAATGTATGGATGTGGAAGCCATAGGCAGAGAGCAAGCTCTATGCTAAAGAATGAAAGAGTAAAGCCTCTCTATTAGGACATGAGCACTTTTAGATAATTCAGGTAACGTGTCAGAGGATTCTTACCAAGTATGCAGAAAATCCATCATTCATCCTCAAACACTCTTCATAGAGAGGACTGTCAGTTGAGAATCCAGTGAGGCAGATCCAAAAGGGCCTGCTGGCTTTTTTGTTAGAACCATACATCCTTCGAATCTGTCCCGCCAACCTACTCAATTCCTGCAAAGCGATGAGGACGACACAGCAGAACAACCATAAGGACAGCTCCTGCCAGCCCTACCAGCTCTAGTCACACAGCAGTCATTCACCAACCACTGCTGCACAAGATTCTCATAACTAGCCCGCCCCCCTTTACTGCAGAGAAGTGCTAAATCCTAAGGCATCACACATACAGACCAAGGCTAGGACAATGATGCTATTCTGGAAATACTCATGAATGCAAAAACAGTGGCCGTCTCTGCCACTGTGTATTTAATGATATTTGGAGAGATTACTTCCGCTTTTAGCTAAAGCTTTGTGTTATGTGATGTTCAGTATTTAAATTGAAAAAGGTTAGAGTAGCAACACTTTCATGCTCCATTAGGTACATTTGGTACCATCACCCTAACATTAAGAGATGCCACAGCATTAGAAGTTTCAACTTTCCTCCCTAATCCTGGAAAGTTCTTTCATACCTTAGCTTGATTTGTAGCTCTACTGAATAAATAGCAGGGTTTGATTTAATCTGCTCTCCCAGTTAATATAAAGGGAGACTTGCCTTGTTCACTTTTCGTATGTTTGTGTATGGCTGCTGCTTCTGCCTCCACAGTGTTGGGATTAAAGTGCACCACCACATCCTGCCTCCTTGTTCACTTTTTAGAAGGCCAGAGTCAGAGAGTCTGTTGAGAACCTTAGAGATGCAGTATTCCCAGTTTCTCTGAGAAACATGGCACATTAGCACACATAACAGAGATGTCTGAAGTAAGATTCACTATGGTGTAAGGCCTCAAATTCAGGCCCAGTATTATGTGCTGGTCTGACTTCTGGCACAACTCAGATGACCTCAAAAGCCAAATTCAAGCTCCCCATGCAGCTCTGCCTTTCCAGATGAAACAAGTGCTCCTAGCCAAAAAGCCTTTTTACCAAGTGAATGAGGCACAGTTGCTGCTTACTCCTATTTGGCCCCAGCAGCCCATGAAGGCATCCAAATAAGCCAACCATTTTGTCCTGTGGGACCCCGGGGACATCTTATCCTTGATACTACAAAGCCAAACCATTGCTCTCTCTTTGCAAGTATAACCCCATGTGGCTCTAAGTAGCATGTCATAGCCTCCTCCCTAGCCTGTGAGTCCATAAGACTAATTGACATCTCATCTTTCCAGGATCATGTGACATGTGTTCGGCCATCTGCAGAACCCTTCAGGGCAAATCCCTCAATCACTAAAGGAAATAGTGGGAAGTAACTAAATTGTAAACACTGCAAGGAGACCTCCCACCAGGAACCCTCCCCACAGAATGCTGTCAAGCTAGTATTTCTGTTCCAAGCAGAAGGACAAAGATTTAGTGTCTAGAGAACTAAACCAGCAAGGATCCACCCAGACTGAAAACATCAAGGCCACAGTCGTAGACTCAAAAGAGAAGACAAACTGCAAATAAGCCAAAGAATACATGTTCCTTCCCAACAGCCACTGTGGAACTTGGTAGCCTAGAGTAGAAAACCAGACACGTCTAAATTACTAGAGTGCCACAGAAGCTGGAGATGGTCACCCACTTCACAAACGCTGCTCCCTTCCATGCCTCCCTTAGGATCTGAGTATGCTACCTTCTTGGACATGTGGTGGGTCATGCTTAAGTCAACACATAGTCTTGGTCCTGAGTGTTTGGCTTCCAAAAGTTTCTCTTTGGTTAAGGCTTTCAAAAAACGTTTGCTGTGCTGGGGGCAGGTGCCTGCGACAGAAATACCAGAGAGGATTAAGCGTGGACTAGCACAGACACTATGATCAACAATTAATAAATGGGACCTCATGAAACTGAGAAGCTTCTGCACGGCAAAGGACATCATCATTTGAACAAAGCAGCAACTGCAGAATGGGAAAAGATTATTATACACTTACACATCTGATAAAGAGCTAATATTCAAAGTAGATAAAGAATTTAAAAAAAAAAGAAAAGCTAGGTATCAAGAAACCAAATAACCTGATTTAAAAAATGGGATGCAGATCTAAACAGAGAATTCTTAAAAGAGGAAACTCAAATGACTGAGAAACAAAGAAATGTTCAACATCCTTAGCCATCAGGCAAATACAAATCAACAGAGATTTCATCTGCACCATCAGAATAGCTAACATAAATAAATAAAACAAGTGACAACTCATGTTGGCGAGGATGGGGAGTAAAGGGAACACCCACCCATTTCTGGTGGAGTGCAAACTTGTAGGGCCACTATGGAAATCAGTGTGGAGGTTCCTTAGGAATATGAAAATCAATATACCCCAAGATCTAGCTATACCACTCAAGCATATACCCAAAGAATGCTTTCATCCACAGAGACACTTGCTCAACCATTTTCACTGGTGCTCGTTATTACTCATAATAACTAGAAATTGGAAACAATCTAGGCCCTTAACAGAAGAATGAATAAAGAAAATGTGGCACATTTACACAGTGCAGTACTACTCAGCAGTTAAAAACAATGACATCATGAAATTTTCAGATAAATGGATGGAAGTAGAAAAAGTCATCCTGGGTGAAGTATCCTAGACCCAGAAAGATAAATATGTTATGTGTTTACCTATATATGGATATCAACTGTCAGGTCAATGATAACCAAGCTACAATACACAGAACCACAGAGATTGGGTATATAGAGTAAGGGACTAGAGGGAGACAGATCTTCCTAGGAAAGGGAAATGGAATAGACAGCTATGGAAGGATGGATGGGTAGAGGGGCTGTAACAGGAGGATCAAGTGGGGAGGGGAAGGAAAGGGGTATGAAAGGAGGAATACAGGGAGGTATAGCTAAAGTTAAGGGCCATTTGAGGGTTAGTATGGAAACCTAATACAGCAGAAGCTTCCTAAAATATCTCCGTGAAGATGATCTAAATAATGGGGAGACAGAGTTCCAATTGGCCATCTCTTGTTACCAAGTGGATCTTCCAGCACTGGGATTAGGTATCATCTAATTGAGCTGTTGGCCAAAAGGGCCCATAGGAATCCCCAAACAACCTAGGCTGTGGTGGAATATTTGTACACTGTGTGAAGATGTGTTGCTGTGATTGGTATAATAAAATGCTGAACAGCCAATAGCTAGGCAGGACTTCTGGGTAGAGAGAGGACTCGGAAGAAGAAAGGCAAAGTTGTCAACAAGACAGAAAGAAAATAGGAGGTGCAAAATGGAAGAGAGGTAATGCCACAGGACAGAACACAGATTAATATGTATGGGTTAATTTAAGTTATAAGAGCTAGTTTAGACAACCCTAAACTAAGGCCAAGCTTTTATAATTAATGAGTCTCCGGTTTGTTATTTGTGAGCTGGCGGTTTAAAGATAGTCTGACAGGAAAGCTTGCTACACCAGGCTGTTGCTAAAACTGTAAGTTGCTCTCCACAAACTGACAACAAGGCCCCATTGCTGAAGACAATACATATGCAACTCATTGAACGTGGAGAAGTTGAGCTGGTGCCTAAATAGAGTCTTCACCCCTACAGCCCAGTATCTTTGGTATAGGAAGGTACTCTGCATGCTACCAAAAGAGAAATGTAAATACCAAGATAGTCACAACCCTTTGATGTACAATGGCGTCCTGACTGCACCATGCTAGGGCAATGATGGCTCAGAGCTTGTGGGAGTAACTAACAAACATCTGACTTAAGGCCCATGAGATGGAACCCATACCAACACTGCTTGGATGGCCAAGAACCAGAGACTAGGTATCCCAGGGACCTGGGGTAAAACGAAGTTCTACTGGTCTAAAACAAAGAAAAAAAGCACAACAACACCCCCACCCCCGTCAAAAAACCAACCCTGAATATGCAGCAATAAAATAACTCCTAATGACATTCTGCTATACTCATAGATCAGTGCCTTGCTCAGCCATCAGCAGAGAAGCTTCTTCCTGCAGCAGATGGGAACAAATAGAGACTCACAGCCAGACATAATGCAGAGTAAGAGACCTTGGAACACTCAACTTAAGTGGGATATCTCTATCAAATCTCTCCCCGCAGGACTCAGGGATCCCTTGGGAAGAGGAGGCAAGGAGAACTAAGAGCCTAAGGAGATGGAGGACACCAAGAAAACAAGGTCCTCTAACTCAGCATGACCATAGCTCATACGAAATCACAGAGACAGAGTTAGCATGCACAGGGCCTGGACAGATCTGCACCGGAACCTCTGAACATATATCTTCCAGTTTAGTGTTTTTATGGGATTCCTGAGTGGGTCTTTGACTCCTGTGCCTTCTCTTGGGCTCCTTCTCTTTTGTTTGTTTTTTTCCAGCTCCAATGTGATACTTTTTGTTTTATCTTATTATATTTTATAGTATAATATTTATGGTATAATTTATAAATTATGAAATCACAGTTACCGGTACCTGGGTGTTCTGCATGCTTGGCTTTTCTTCTTTCTTTTTCCTGCTTCCTTTTGCTCTTCTTTGAGGAGACTATCCTTTCCCAGTGTCTCTGTTTTCTCTGCACATTTTTCTTCCATTATCCAGAAAACAAAATTGTTTGAGAACTCCATAAATTTCAGAAAGGAAAATGGACATCAGAGTCACTTTCCTTCATTTATATATGGGGGGGGGGGAAGGATTTTTGTCTTAAAAACAAACCTATTGGCTTGTGTTTATTTTTAACTTTATCCCCATGACTTCTTTGTTATTTTATTTTCATTGGTGAATATTCAATGTACACAGTGCTGAGTTATTACTATTGTATGCACTGCTTGGTATCTGACTCAAGGCCTGCAAGGTAACAGTTCTCACTGAATAATATCCCTACCCAGGTCATAATTAGAGAGAACATTACCCCCACCCCACCATAACAATAGTGACTTTTCCAGGTTATAGAAAATTCATTGGGACAAAGTGTAAAGGACAGAGTTTGGAGTCCCTGATCCTTTTAGATGCATATCAAAATTTCTTTTAAATTTTTATTTGAGTCCTACATTCTTAGGACTCAAATGAAACCTCAATGAATGGATTCAACACTTAGAACACACAAAATTAATCCTCAACTCTTTTCATCTCCCGATTGACCCTTAGAACAGGGGCCTCTGGGCCACTCATCACGGCGAGCTCACAGCACACACCGAGCCCCACGTCGCACTGTTTGCAGGGCAGGCTTCTTCCTCTTGGTGTTCATATTCCACATCCACCTGCAGAAGCTGGAGGATCTCAGAGAGTCCATCTTCACCTCCATCCTCCGGGAAACCTTCTTGTCCCTGCAGCACCAGTGACTCTGCTCTCCAGGCACTCTCTTCCAACTTACAGTCCATGCACTCTCGTCACTTACACAGGTAAACTCCCTACATCCAAAAGAAAACAGTGTTACTGTGTCAGTGAGGGGCAGGGCTACAGTACTGACTGAACAAAGAAAAGCATGCTGCAGAGTATTCCAGCAAAGAGTGGTCAGCAGTAAAGAAGCCAACACATTTCCTGGACAAGGACTGGATACTTCCAAGCGATCAACACATACCCACAGAGAGCCAAGTTTTTGTTGTGTTCTTTGGAATATACTGTGTCATTACCATTCAGTTTACTTTCAAATCAGTCCTTCAGCAAATACTTCTTAAGCATCTACCATGTACAAGGTCCTGAGCCAGTAAAAAAAGAACGGCAGACTCCTGGGATTTGGTGACAAGGTCAGAATTACTTGTGTCAAGTCTCGCGCCCACCCTATATCTGAGCAGCATTATAGCAGAAGGCCAGTCACCACTGAGAATGTGTAATGTCCCTTGTAGGGCTGAGGTTGAAAAAAACATAGAGAAGCACCATAACTGTGGTGTTCAACCTCCCAAAACAGAAGCCAGTGATGCTTGTACAAGCTGTCCTGGGACTCACAGATCCACCTGACCCTGCCTGAGTGCTGGCACTGGAAGTGTTCACTACCATGCCCTGCTAGTTCAGGGCCTCTTATACTTTGTCTTCTTGTAACCCCCTTTCACCCAAGAACACATTTACATTATCTTAATTATTATATTATTATTGCATTTGTTAATTATTTATTATTGTTCATAACATGTATACATTTGATAGTGGGGTATCCATGTACAGAGTGTATCTGAACATCAAAGGAAAATTGAGTGGAGTCGGCTCTCTCATCTCTGTACGTGGAATCAGGTTATCAGGCTTGTGCAGCAAGTGCCTTGGCCTCCTGGGACATCTTGCTGGCTCTCACCCAAGGAATTTTTATGCAAGTCTAGTATACAGTATATACAAGCATATAATATATACAAAATCAAACAACTGATAATAAATCACAAATTAATTTTAAAACAACTCTGGTGTACAAATATTTTTATCATTTACTAGAGATGAGAGCAAGTTTGCATCCCAATGAGATGGTTGTGTGATTTTATTTTCATATAAAACATTCAATCTTGGCTGAATATCTGATACTGTAGGATGGAATGCTTCAGTGTGTTTTAGAGTTGAATGATATTTTGATTCTGTAATTGTTAAAGCTGAGAATACTACTTCACATAAATATGTGGTACAAAGTGGCAGAAATATATATTTCAGGAATTGTTGGAAATTCTGTCCTAATCCCAACCCCAAATTCAATGAATAGTTCTAGCCACAGGAGTCTTATGACCTGATCTGATAAGAAGACCCAAGTTTAACCCCTTGGACCCATGTAAACGTGGAAGGAAAGAACTGACTGCACAAAGCTGTCCTCTGACCTCTACACATGTGCCACGGCACATGCACCAACACATAACACACACACACACACAAATAAAAATAAAAATATTCTTCCCAATAAAACATCTCAGGTCTAAGCCTAAAACATGGCACTTGCCTTCTACTCACAAACTCCTGAGTTTGAGCCCCAGAAACACCAAATAAATGAAGGAAACTAAAAGTATTTTTTAACAGCCAAATTTCATGGCATTTTGTGTTCTTATCTGTATATAACTATTTATTTGGACAATAAGCATGCAGGCCTTATTGGGAAATGAAGTTATAATGTCTCTTTCGAAGTCTCTCTGTTTTTTGTCCCTCATGCCTTCCTAAGTTCTATCATCCATGAACATGCTTTTTATGCCAGGGGTCAAATAAAGACAACACCAACCACTGCCTTGAGTCTATATTATATCTGCCTGCAGTCCTGGAGGCAGAGAGCACCTTTCTTGAGCTTTGCACCTTTGGTGGCCCACATGAATGCTGGCACACAATGGAAATTCAGTAAATGCTGAATAGAGGTTATCATCTAAGAGCCCTCAAAAGGCAAAGGTGCCGCAGAGCATCAAAACGCATAGACCTGGGAGCTGGAGAGGTGGCTCAGTGGTTCAGAGAATTTGCTGCCCTTAAAGGACTCCAGTTCTAGCACCAGTACTCCTATCAGGTGGTTCACAACTGCCTGTAGCTGCTCTCTAGCAGATCAGATACTCTCTTCTAGATTGTGATGGCAATTGCACCCACCACACTTGTGTGTGCATGTATGAGTGTACACACACACACACACACACACTGTTAAAGATAAGTCTTAAGAAACATACAGATCTGATTAACCTGCACAAAACATTATCTATGCCCAGATTTGGCATTTTACCTCTTAATTAAAAGATCTTTTCTCAAGGAGGAGATATAATCCCAGCAGCTATAATCCCAGCCTGTAATCCCAGCAGCTGGGAGGCTGAGGCAGGGAGTGTACGAGTTCTAGGCCCATCTAGTCTATACAGTGATTATACCCCATCTCTGACCAACAACAAAAAATATTTCTGAGCCTTAGTCATTCAACAGAGTTGCTAAGTACCTGACCCAACAATGGTATATCTTGGGGATTTGGAAGTGACACTCATTCCATATTTATGAGGTTCCAATTTTCAATTGCTTTGAGTTCAACTCAAACTGGTCCTCCTGTTTCCCTATTCTACAACAAATCCTTCTAGGGAGAAACATTTACCTCCGCACCCCAGAACTTGTACTGAACCTCACATGGTAAGAACATCCTAGGAGCTGGGCAGTGGTGGTGCACACCTCTAATTCCAGCACTCAGGAAGCAGAGGCAGGTGAATCTCTGTGAGTTTAAGGCCAGCCTGGTGTAGAAGTGAGATCCAGGACAGCCAGGGATATACAGAGAAACCCTGTCTCAAAAATAAATAAGTAAAATACCAGGATGGGGAAATAACACAGAAGAGTGCTTGTCTACCATGCACAAAGCCCTGTATTCAACCCTTGGTATTGCATAAACCAGTGTGACAGCTCAGGTTACACTAGTACTAGAAAGGTAGAAAACAGGAAGGTCAGAAATTTAAGGTCATCCTTGGCCAGTCTGGACTACCGGAGACCCTGTCTCAAACAGGTAAATAAAGTCATGAAATATATATTCATAAATAGCAATAGCTATATAAATAAGAGTATCTAAATGTTTGAAAATTATACCACCCTTCTGCATAGGATCAGCAACATTTTCCATTTCACTTACAGTAGTTCAGCCTTCCGTCAATTTTCCCTTTTCTAAAACATTCCATTTATTTGGTTTTTTATTTTTATTTGGTTGATTGATAGGGTCTCACTACGAAGCCCTGGTAGACTAGGCTGGCTTCCCTTCCAAATGCTGGGGTTAAAGGCCTAACATTTATTATTACTGTATGTATGTATGTATGTATGTATGTATGTATGTATGTGGCTATGTGCACGTGAGTACAGGTGCTCATGCAAGTCGGAGGCATCAGATCCCCTGGATCTTAAGTTATAGGCAGTCATGTGTCACCCAGACAGGGATGCTGAGACCCAAATTCCGATCCTCTGCAGGAGCAATCTTTCCTGCTAGCCCCGCCTCCACTGATTTTTCTTTAGCTCTCTGGTCTACCCATTCCCCAAACATACTAAATACCCCGATGTCTCTTCATAAACTCTTCTTTTTTTCCCCACGATGCTCTTTCCTTAATCTCATACATACTCAGGTCACGAATATTTTCACTATCCAACACTACCTATTTTTTGTCTGATTTTCTCACACCCTCACAAGTAAATTCTGTTTACTCTCTCAATAAATACTTTCTGCATTAACTCCACCATCCCCGCTTCAGAACTTTGATAGCCCAAGTCCCACCGGATGAGCACAAACGCCATCACTAAGTATCCAATCTTCTGCTCGCTCAGGTCTCCCATGTTCTCATTCTGGGCAGTGGGGCACCAAAGCACTAGACCTATCTAGACCCCAGGCCGCAGAGATCGCGGGTCCCGCTGGCCTGCGGGCTGAGAACGAGGGGAGGCAAGACTCAGAAGCTCAAGGCTGTGGGTGCCGCGGCCTCTGGGTGGGACCCAGTCAATCCAACCCACAAAACCAGCAACTTCTCCCCGCCTGCGCCCCTTCCCTTCGCCCCCGCCCCCCCATCCGCTTACCTGACAATCACACCTGGCTCGAAAGAGACCAAACCAGTGGCCCCGCCTCCGAACCACTTCCGGTTCCTGATCAGCTTCCCTGTGGCATTCTGGGAGTTATAGTTTTCAATGTGGCAACTCAATAGAGGACGCCAGTAGGCTAGAGGGAATTCTCTACTCTGGGTTACCCATAAGTTAGTTGAGGGTGGCAATTCCACCTCCTCGCAGACCTTACACAGCTCAAGCAGGTGACCAGTCGCTTTCTGGCTAGCTGGACACTGCAAAACTGGGGTAAGGAAAGCTTCAAACCATCTGCTTTGTCTTGTGTTAGTATGGGGCCCTTAAAGTTTCCTTGGTTTCCCCTCAACTAGAAGGGCGGTCAGCTAACACAGCCCTTTCCTGAGCACACAGTGCTCTGCTGCCAGGCTGTTCAAGTTCAAAACCCAGACAAGATTTAGCAGGCGTAAGTCTAGCGGCTGTCTATATCCTTCGTGTATCTCCCTTCACATAATAACCCAGAAATAGGCTCAGACACACGAAATGATCTTTCCTAGCCTTGTCTTTTTTTAAGATTGATTTTTTGTATCCGTGTATGGATGTTTTGCCTGCATATGTATATATGCTCACCTCTTGCGTGCCTGGTACTTTGGGAAGCCAGAAGAGGGTGTTGGATTCCCTGGGAACTGGAGTTACAGAGACTTATGAGCAGCCATGTGGGTGCTTGGAACCAAGTCCAGGTTGTCTGCAAGAGCAGCCAATGCTGTTAACTGCTGACCCCTAGCCTTGTGTTGATATAAACTATCTGCTACTTTGTGATTAACTCATGTGGCCCTAGAAGTTGCATTTTTAGAGAGATCCTACAAGTGTATCCGAATTTTCTCCCTCTCATGAACCCAAAACCTGGTTACATTCCTTCTGGTTTTTTCTTTACATAATTCCTCCCAATTCATGCTTCAATCTGATAAAAAACAAAAACAAAAACACAAACAAAAATCTTATTATGTAACCCAAATTGACCTCAAATTCGAGATCTTCCTGCCTCAGTCTTACAAATGCTAGAGTATAGTTGTGCTCAATATTTTGATTTATTTTTTTTAAAGTTTCTTTATTATGTATACAGTGGTCTGCCTGCATGTATCTTTGCAGGCCAGAAGAGGGCGCCACATCTACAGATGGTTGTGAACCAAGATTTTTAAATGCTAAGACAAACATCTCTTTCTCCGATGTGACCCTGCTCTACCAAGTCTTCTCTGTTCACTGCTGGCTCTGGCTTCCTACTGCCTGTGGGCCTGCTTTGGTGCAGCTTGAAAAGTGGGTCAAAGGAACAGATCTCACAACCAGCAGTCCCTTTGCTCATAGTCAGCCATACTGAAAGCCTCCCCATCCTCAGGCTCCCATGTCACTCCACTTCTCCCACGAATAAAAATGACCTCCTAGCCGGTCTTGCTGCTTTTCCTGCTGCCTTCACTTTCAAATTTGCCACCACCAAAGATGCCTCAGCAGTTTCCAGTGGTACCTGGGTGTAGTAAAATTCAACCCTATCCCTAATGCACCATGTGATCCTGGAGCTGATCAGTACTAACTGCTCTGGTTTCCCATGGCTTGGAACACACCAATGGCATCTGCACACTCTATTTCCTCTCCACTCTTTCCTATTAATTAGAAGTCCCTTGAGAGCTGAGTGTAGTGGCAAATGCCTTTAATCACAGCACTTGGGAGGCACAGGCAGGTACATCTCTATAAATTTGATGTCAACCTGGTCTACATATCTACATAGTGAGTTCTAAGAAAACCAGAGCTACATGGTGAAGCCAATAAAATATAATAATGATAATAGAAAAAAGGGGACCCATGCTCACTGTGCTAATGAGTGTTTTACCTACTATCCCTGCATAGTAGATTCTGGTTAACAGAATTTTTTTCTTTCTTGACATCTAAACCTTGCAAAACGGCCTGACATGTGGTGTCACTCCCATCCTAATTAGTGCTGCCTCTTATGGAGAGCCTTCCCTGATGACTCCTCATGGCCAATGATGCCTTTCTCCTTACATGTCTCATGCTTCTCTTTGGTGACCCAGAACTTTGTCATTCTCCATCTCTAGGAGTCATCCAACCTCCATCAGGAACTCTTGAAAATAGAACTCTCACCTCGCCTCATGTACGGAGTATATCAAACAAAGAAAGTACCAGACTGAATGCCTTCCCTGAGCTTCAGCTTCTCAGTGAGCACCAAGAGCTTCCTACCCTTTCCCGGCCTTACTCTTCCTCATGGGAACCACAGAGGGAAAGAGTAGCAAACCAAAAAGATGTGGAGAAACACGGTGCTGAATGTCTCAGCTGCAGGCCTCCATCTTCTTCCATAACTATTTCTCACAAAACGGTTAAATGTATAACAATGTAAAGTGTTAAAAAGTATTCACACTATGTACATAAGGCTTCTGGAATACTGTAGGTTCTAGTTAATTGGACACAAGTACGGTTTAGGTCAGTCAGGATCCAGCCCCTACTGAAGTCTCATGGGTGATCATGAAGAGCCTGTTCACAGAAAAAAGCTATTTTGATTTTTTTTTTTTTTTTTTTTTTTTTTTTAAGCAAAGGCTCCAAGTCCTGTTTCACACCATGCAAGTTGCTTTCCTGCCCTGTTACTTTTCAGTCACAAAATCACTTCAAAGTTGCCTTCAGGAGTTTAAAGTTTATTTGAAGCTTCATAAGAAACACTATTCTAAGGAAACCAATCCTTTCCGGACACACACACTAATTCTCACTAATGACAAGTGTCTGGTAGTGGGATGGAAGGGACATGTGTTCCTCTCATTGCCCAAGTATGGCTTCCCTTCTGCCTGGAGAGAGCTTGGTGTGACTGACTCATCCCTGATCCTGCTTTTTGCTGGACAAAGCCAGGAATTAGGAGTAGAACATTGGCCTCACGAGTGTCAGTAACAGGAAGAAAACAGGACCTCTTTGATGTTCTCTGACAGCCCAAGTGAGCCACCAAACTACACCAAACAAGAAAAGCCAGAACAAACGGTGTCCCAAAGAACTCTTGAAGTGGGTGTGTCTGGCTTGAGAAAGCAGTTTGTGTGTGAGACTTTCAGACTAGGAGAAACACAGAGCATTGTTACCAATACTTACAATTTACTATATTGTTCCTAGATTTCTGCTCTATCATGTGGACAACATGAGCCTCCTCATGTACAAAACCCAAAACAAGAAGAGTTTAGCAGCTTGTCCATGACCATGATGGCTAAGTAGGATTAACTTGATCAGCAGGGGCCAGTGAGGAAAGAATTGATTATATTTCTTCTGCCCTAATATTAGTCCAATAATGGCAATTTTGATTCCTGGATTTAATGCTTGCCTTATATAAAAAACAGAAACGGTGCAAGAGGCAGGGGTACAGTTTCAGATAAAGCAGGGAATACCCCTGCACATGGGTCACTCAAGCAGCTAGGGAATTTACTGCCACCTAGTGGCAATCTGTGCTTGCAGCAGAGAGGCATTTGCATTTACCAATAACATGCATATATGCATCTATTTGTGGAGGTTACTGCCAAATTAATGTAACAAGGGAATCAAGACTGTTCTTCAGCAATTCCTGAGTTCTTGGGATAAAATATGAGACTTTTTTTTTTTTTTTGCCTGTTACCTGCTGGTTGGATGGACATCTACTTATCTATACCCCAGCATGTTCTCAACAGAGAAGAAAATTCTTGTGTCATACAGTCTGTTATTTCTCAATTTCTTAGTACAGTCCTGACTCTCTGTTAAATGAAAATGAAATTTTGTTTTGTGTAGCCCGTGCTGCCCTGGAACTCACTCTATAGTCCAGGCTGGCCTGAAACTAGCTCGAGTAAACATTTTCAATTCAAATTTATCACCACTCAGAACAAGACAGGCCAAGATTAAGCAGCAGTTTATTCGAATACTCTACATAGTAAACATTTGAAGGGGGTTGTTGGAGAACTTCCAAGGCAGGGTAAAGGGGCCCTGGGAGGGTGACCTGTTCACAGAGCAGTGGATGCCCGGAACTTCTGGGTCAAACAGAATACAGCAGCTGTGAGGGCTGTGCATTGGCGAGCCAAGAGTTTCACACTGAGGTCATGGTAGCCTCTCTCACAGGTCAGTTTTGCAGCCTCCACAAATTGGTGATAGGTATATACCACGTCCCTCAGGTTCCCGGCCACCTCCTTGTGCCGGGTGGAGCAGCGGCTACAGTCTGTGAACTGGAAGCAGAGGCCAGCCAGCTGCACCAGGTGCTGGAAAGTGACACGCACAGCACCCTGCATTTCCTCGGGGGACTGGTCCATTCTGATCACATGTTGACAGCTGGATAGGAGCTTCTGGGAGCCCATGCATAGGCGGCTCCGGCTTTCTGAAAAATGCCAGCTGCACTTCTCAGTGGGGTGTTTATTTCCAATTCCCCAGGAAGCTTCTAGAATGTCCTGCAGCTCCAGCAGGCTCTCAGTGAGTTGGACAAAGCCCTCAGGGGCACTTGCAGGGGCAGTTTTCAGCTGTCTCAGAGCTCTGGAGCAGTACTCTGGCCAAATGTGGCTTTTCCTGGGTAGGGGTGCAGTGCAGCTGTAGGCACGGGCTGGCCTCCAGGGCAGAGTCACCTGACTTCCTGCAGAGGGTGGTGAGGTAAGGGGGGCAACAGGATGTGTCTGTGGGTCCTCGTCGTCTTCTTCTGTCTCGGGTTGCAGGCCTCGGAAGCACGTGGCATAGGAGAGCTGACATCTGCAATGCTCTATGCCAATCCCGGCAGGCACCGCTTCATTCACACTGGCAAAACCAAAGGTGGTGTCCTTGCTGAGTCTGGTGGAGCCTTCAGGATGGCTCTCTGGGGCAAAGCACAGGAAAGATCTCTCAGGTGGAAGGCAAATGATAGGACTGTCATCTTTGCTTTCTGCCGGTGAGCCATGGCCTGAATCTACTGAGCGGGGCTCCTCTTGACCCGGTGAAAGCTTTGGCAGGGAAGGTACTGTCTGGACACAGACTTGCTGAGGAGTATCCACAGGGGCTGTGTTTTCCCCTATCAC